AGTTGCTTGAGTTCAGTAGGTTTTGACGTTTATCAATTGCGCTCTCATTTCCAGTGAGAGACGAGTTGGGCATCTCTTTATCTCTGCATGTAGTGTGAAGAATTTTGTTAGCAGATACGTGTTGATCAGTTGTTTAACAAATTGAGTTAACAACTACATGTATACATATGTATGCTGTGTGTTCAATTTTTATGACTTATATTCACATATTAAACATACAACGTAGTCCCATCGAATTTCGAGGAATTTTTTAACTTAATTTCATCGCATTAGCGGAAAAATTCACATGTGCTGGAAAGTCTTAAGTGGAAAGCACTAACTATAAATTCCTTTACACTAAGGTGGTGTTTGAAAATAAAGGTTAATATTACATGTAGCGACGGAAGAATGTTTTTGTTATAGTTTTATTTCAAATAAAAAGTAGAAAACTGAATTAAATATTTAGCCGGCCGATAAAACGTAGAAAAATCAATGAAATTACTATGAAACCCTGTCGATCTAATTTTGCATAAGTTCTTACCGTCATCTATATCTCCAAGAACTTTGTTGTTGTAATTGTTATCGATGTTGTTTTCATGTACTTTTGTGGTATACAAATTTATTAGAAAACACACCACTTTGTTATTTTAGAAAAAAAAAACTAACAAAAAACTGAAAATTTCAATTGCTGATGCCATTTATTTAGTAAGCCTTATTACAATTCGTCTATTTAATTTAAAAATTAACCATTTAATATTTTTATACATTTTTATGAATGGAATGTGCAATAATATATTATTATATTTCAACGTTTTTTGCAATATTTTTGAATTGGCTTCAAAGATATAAGGTATTTTCGAATTGTAAAACAATAAAGAGATATGTAACAATTCCTGAGCTGAACTGCAAATAAAATAAAAAATTTATTTAGTGTGGACTTAATATATAATACAACGATAACATGACTTAACATCTATGCATATGTATGGTATAGGTAGAAAACTTTGAGGATCACTGTGGTATTTGAAACTATTATTAACAACTATTATTCGTTATTATCTAATATTTAACTAAAATTTTTGCTGTTGATACCAACACCGTATCCGTGACCGTAAAAGACGGTACCTCATATCTATAAATCGTTTTATTTTTTGACTTGCAATATAATTTTGATCTTGGTAGACTTTACTAGTTCGTACATTAATAATCTTCAATTTTCTTCGAAATATTAACCCAATATTTTCGAACTGAAACACGTGAAATTCTTTCATGCTGGAGCATTGAATTAATTAAGTCTTTTACCAATATTCTTTCTTTTCGTTCAATTCTATTTGGGGGACTTTAGCCTACTTTTGGAACCTACTTAGTAGGTATGCTTGGAACAATAAGATATTTTATTTCGTCACACTTTCAATATGCTTCAGTGATATAAACTTTAACCTTTTTATTGTAGTCGGTACTCACCGTTGTCAATATCGTTCTGTTGATATCACAGATCCCCAATACCGAAAATCTTACTTCGTAAGTATGTAAATATTTCCAAAATTTTTGAAACTGTGAATAAAATTAAAGTAATAGTAAAGTAATAGTAATTAAAAGTAATGCTTGGAAATTACTCACCTCAGCTGCTAGCGATTGCTCTACAGTTTTGCGCTTGATTTCGCTAACGATCTGCATGGTTTTCTTAGACTTTGTACGAAGAGAAACAAAATAAATTTTAATTATATATAATGATGATATAGAGATAACAAGAATATCACTAAAAATAAGAGTATATCAGGGAGATATATTATAGTGCTTATGTAGCTAGATAAATATAATGTTTTCTTCTGGGTGTTACAAAACTTCTCGACAATTGGTCAGGTATAAAAATTTAAAGTCACTGGGCTTTACAAGTATATTTCTCTTCTATTTCTCTTTCTTTGTGTTACTGTGATGCAAATGAACTGGCCAGAACAGGCATCACCCTACAGCTAGACTCGAAAAAGAGGGAATTTGTATGCCTCTGCGCCATTGTAAATATTTAATCGACGAACATGCTGTAAATTTAATCAATCCTGACTTGCTCAACAAGTAGGCAAACTTGGCATGAATGGACATGGGCCGGAATCAGGAAAAGATCGCAACTATCGGTTAAGGGTTTCTGGACGACGTTTCAGCGGAGCATAAATAAAATTATTTGTACGGATAAACACGATAAACGAGGGTAGATCAGAGAGGAGAAATGAGATGAGAACCATTAGCATCGGTGTAACAATGGGCTAGGCCTAGGTTGTGTCGTCGAGACAGCCATCTACCAACTACCTATCTCTCTCTCTTCTTCCATCTTTCCTCTATAAATATTTCTATTTCGCGTATGATTATGGATCTTTTTGTGAGTTATGGAAAACTAAATTGTCTTGTTAATCAAAGAAATTCAAAAAGGAAAGATAATTGCATTTATCAGTTGATGAAATGTTTCAAAAAGAACAGATATTTCTCTAATTACTTATAATAAATACTAATATCCATTTTCCGATTCAATAGCGCTTCGGTTTTGCTGCCTTTGTACTGATCTCCTGCATGCTACATATAGTAATCACTGGACATTTCATGGCTATAGGAATCAGACAGTCTCTATAACTCTTCAGACTTATGTCAGATGATGTGGATTATGAGCATATATTCAGACTACTTTTGGTAGTGGAGCTTGTCAAAGGCGACGTAGAGGTGAGTAGAAGCATGTGCGAAGCTTTATAAAAACTATATTAAACATATTTAAAGCTACTTCTTTGATAATATTAAATTAAA